AAATCGACTTTATTTCTTAAAAGAATTTTCATAAGAAATTTCATTTTGAGAGGTAGGAGTAAAAGGTTTACACATCTTCCAATCTCCTCAGTAAGAAACATTGGAAGATGATGTTAAATGGTATCAAGATCTAGTTAAAAACTTTATGCACACCAGTTTATAAAAATTGTTAGATAATGACATTAGAATAGATTAACATGAAAACTTACTATAAGTGCTAAAGTTTGAAAACTACCATAAAATCTTATTTACAAAATAACTTTAATATCATTTTATATTAAAGTTATTTATTATATTAATAATTACTTTCCATTTATAATTTTAAACTGTGTTTTGTAATTTTTTTGTTGCTCAAACACTATTAAGTGTAACAAATTTAAAAACTTGGTGTTTTTTGCCAAGTGTTTAAATTTGTCACACTTAATAGTGTTTGAGCAACAAAAAAATTACTTTAAGTCAAATTTTGACTCCCCTGGTATTTTTGCATTTCTTGAAGTTGTCAAAACTTCAAGAAATGCAAAAACTTCCAGAAACTTTGAGGAATCTAAAAAAAAAACCCTTACAAAATTGTATGTGTATATTGGCATCTATTTTGTATTATATCTCAGGACTGAATGAACCAAAAATTTTAAAATTTGACAGGATTATTTCTATATATGGGGCATTGGTGCTATTAAATTTTGGTAGTTGAAGGTCAAGAAGGTGAAGAAATAGAGGGGTTCATACTGTGTATCTTGAATAGGATGAGACTTAATGAAAGTTTTACCTGTTTTTAACATTTACAATTTCTTTAAAAACTCACTCTATCCTCAAAAATACACCTTTTTCCTCTCATAATAATTAAGAATATAAAAATTATTCTTAATAAAATCTTATAACAGATGATACCACACAACTTTGTAAATTATGAGTGCCAAGAAAGTCATGCAAGAGTCCTTGTCAGCTTTTTTATATGTATGTAATGTAATCTATGAATAGGTACCAGTTGGAAAAGTAAATTTTGCTGTAGTGCAAAAAACGCAATCAAGGTCAAAATTATCGATTTTTAAGTTTCCATTTATTAGGTGTCAAACAAATTACTAAAGTAATCAAATTTCTCTATTTTATTTGAACATAATTTTATACAATAAAACTCCATTATCCATCACTCTTTTAATTAGCAGTTTCTTTTAACCATCAATGTGCTGAATTCAGTTTCTCAGAGTAGAGTTACTGTATTTTTTCCTTTTTCACTATTACTATAATACAAAAATACAGTACAGTATTTATTTTACTTATAGAATTGTGCATTAATTGTGAATTGTAAATTAATTCTTCTGTACTAGTAGAGGGAATTCTATTATCTATTTATTCTCATATCCATCATGGCTTCAGTCATAATCCCTGATGGATAATAAAGTTTCTATTGTAATTATTTTTTAATGCAAATTTGAGAAAAATTTTTAAAGTAATTTTTCTCAAAGTTATGATTTTACAAACTAAATTTTCTAACCAATCAAGCTGTATTGCTTTTTAAATACTTCTCTTAGTCTATAGAATAAATTGCATTCAAAACATGAAAATCCAACTTCAGGTACCTTTTTATAAATCATATCATATATAAATCCTACTATTACATATATATGTTACTGTAAAAGCCCGTATATTGGTAAATCCTAGGTTTTACTTGGAAATCTTCGGATTTACCAACATGAGTTGGTAAATGTAAGGATTTTTATAAAGTGAGATGATTTTCCGGGCTTTTACCATTAGAATTTGGTACATGCTAGGTTTTACTAAAGACGATTAGTAAATGTTGGTTTTGGAAATAAAACTATGAGTATTTTAATAATCATTTATTGCAATTATTATAAACTTACTAAGTCCTATTTATTAATAACTAGTGAAACAGTTTAAAAATACTTTTTTAACATAACAAAAACTAAATTATCTTGTAAAAAATAATATAATAGCTTACCCGGCTAAGCTAATCAGTAATCACAGTTTTTTTTTCTAATCTTTGGTATTCATTGTCATTTAATGAAAGTAAAAAAAAGGATTTTACTTGTTACAACATGGAGAGCTATCATGGCATTTAAAATTACAAAGTAATCCTGATGACTTGCAAGCGCCCTTCTTCGTTAGGCATTTTTTAAAGCAGTTGCACTTCTTGAAACCTTGTCCTCCGGTCAAAGACAATTTTGCGACAAACTCCTTTACATCTACTACAACTGCAATAACGCTTTTCGGGTCGGTTTTAGCTTTGTCAATTTCAGGCACTTTCAGTCTTACATTTTGGCCAATTTTCACATTTGGATATTTATCAACAGACGTGGCTTTCATTTTTTCAACTTGTTTTTCCAAATTCAATTTTGCGTTGTTTCTTATAGTCACTACAGATTCTATCTTTTTTGGTATTGGCTCTATAGTTACAAGAACTTCCTGAGACTCAATCATGTTTTCTGTCTCTGAATCGGTATCTCTCTGAATCGTTACATTGGAATCATCGGTTATTTGCTTCGCCTTCATTTTCTCAGTAATAATCATTTCATCTTCTTGTGTTTTATCGTTGAGAGTGCTATTGTCTATATCCCCTTCTGACTCATTTTCAACAATGCTTTCTTCCTTGTCCTGTTCGATTGCATTTTCGACGTCATTATTTTGTTCCGTATTGTCATGCGAATGCAACAACTTCTCTAAATCTTCTTCAGATCTTATAACTCTAATCATATCACTAGGGATTGCTGAAGTTGCAAGGCCCATTTTCATTGGACAACCAAACATTGCTTCGTAGGGGGAACATTTGATTCCCTCGTGATATGCTCTATTTTTCATTGCCTGGATGAATCTTAAACCCTCTGACCACTTTGATAACTGATTGGTTTCCATCCACGTGCTCAACATATTTTCTATGTCTTGATTAGCACGCTCCACTGATCCTTGACTTTGGCTATGTCTTGCCTTTCCATGTACGATTTTTACATCCGGCCACATGGAACATAAACTCTCAATAACTTGGTTAGAGAATTCTCGACCATTATCGGAATGAAGGATGCTCGGCGCTCCAAAAGTGGTGAAAATATGCAAAAGATGGTATGCAACTTACGGCGCGTTTAGTTTGAAGCGCACAAAGGATCACAAATTTGGCAAGATGGTCTTGGTAAACTAAAATAAATTTATAATTTCCATCTGGGCTGGTTTGTAGATCTATTAGATCAACCTGACAGCGTGAGTTCATTTCACTGTGAAGTATAGGTCTGACGACAATGCCCTTTTTCAGTCTTCTGTTTCTTTTGGCAAGGTTGACATAGCTTCAAATATGTCATAGTAGCCTCAACTGTTACATTTTTATCCTTGCGGTTACATTCCTTAAGCATCCGTGTCCTTCCACTGTGGCCAATAGCAACATGCGTTTCTTTGAGAATATTGAATAAGTCTTCGTGACAAATGTAATACCTTATTTCTCCATCCTCTTCTTTCATAGGTGCAATTAGTTTTTCTTCGCCGCCTATAGTCAAAATGTCGTAACGCTTTATATGCCTGTATTGAACAGCTTGTTTCCTTTTTCATGTTCTATGAAGTTTTTACTTCCTCCAAACACTTTGCGTATTTGTCCCTATTAAGATAAAAGTTATTATCTTTCTTGCTTGCAACGAGCTCGTCCATTATTTCATAAAATCTCCGTTTCATACTCATCTTGATTCATAAATAACTTNTTGTTTCTTTTTCATGTTCTTTGCAGCTTTTACTTCCTCCAAACACTTTGCGTATTTGTCCCTATTAAGATAAAAGTTATTATCTTTCTTGCTTGCAACGAGCTCGTCCATTATTTCATAAAATCTCCGTTTCATACTCATCTTGATTCATAAATAACTTGTAGACAACGAAATCTCAAACAAGATTAGAATTAACGTGCATGTTCTAACGTGCCAAACGATGGAATGAGGCGAGTGAAGGCTGCGACACAGAGCGGTGCGGAAAGCGGGGACTATTTTTTCAACATTTACCATGTCTCTGAGGTAAAACCTAAGATATACCGAGTAAATGCTGGTAAAAGCTCGAAATTAGCGATGATCGCAGAACATTTCGGACTTTTACCACAAAGATTTGGTAAATCTTAGGTTTTACTGGAAGATCTTAGGATTTACCATAGTTCGAGCATTTACAGTAACATATATAATAGTAAGATGTATATCTATGCAAAATATATTTGGATGAAACTCATGATAAGTTTGTTAGAAAATTAACTTTATCATCAATTTCATCTGAAAACAAACAATTTTAATTAAATCAATATGATTTCGCATTTATAACTTAAGAACAATTTTAGAAATCAGAATAAACATAAGCATTTTACATTTAGGATTTTAACATTAAATAATATCAATTAGTATATCCAATATTAAGAAATAATAAATATCAAGAATATAATATATTCTTGATATTTATTATATTATAATAATTGATTTTAAATATAAGTAACAAGTGTATTAATTCAAAAAATTTGGAATTAAAAATCGAAAAAAATAGGACATGGAAAGTATTTTTAACTTAAAGCTTTGTTAACAAAACCTAATTAAGATATTTTTAGTTTGTAGAAATTTAGATATTAACTTGAGAAGTTTTAATTCACAATTTAGAAGTTAAAAGTGGAATAGGTTTTACAATCTAAAAATGCTTAAACAAAATTTTAGCTTTATCAATAAGATTATTTAGATTAATATGTAAGAAAGTAAAAAATAAAAAATAACTAGCAAAAGATAAATAAAGTTAAAATTCTTTTTGTTATTCAGAAAAATTTAAGTATCAAATAAGATAAAATTTATTTTGTATCTTTAAATAACTTTTTTAATATTAAAAGTAATCTTGGAAACCATATAAAAATTAAGAGGTTAAAAAAATTTTTCTAATAGAATAATTATTATTTTTAATTGTGAAACAATTTTTTTCAAAAAATGTATTATGATTTTTAAATGTTATTTTGATTTTAATTACAAAAATGTTAAATAATATTTACTTACAGGTGTTTCTGGAATCACAAACTTCTCTCCAGATGCCATTTTTGGTATATTCGTTAAATTGGATAAATTAGTCCTATTCTGAAGCATATTTTTCCTAGATAAAATTTCATCCACACTTAATCCTGTATAGGAATGTCTCCGAATTTGAGCCAACTCATTTGATAACTCATTTGTATCTGGTTTAGATGATATCACCAATCCACCAGTACTATTCATTTTGCGTAATGTTGATTCTGATTTCACTGCAGTCATTGTTGATGAATTAACAGCACTCAAATTGATGTGACTTTGAGTAGTAAGTGGTATTTGTGAAGGAATTGCATTAGCAGTATGAACTGGGGTTTGATAGGTTAAATTAATATTACCAGAATTATATTGAATAGATGAAGGTGAAATTTGTGGAGGATTTTTTGAAGATCTACTATTAATAAATCTTTCTTGTTGTGCAGTTCTTGCTTGAGAAGAAAGAGCCATAGGCACTTGTGAAGGCAAATGAGATTGTAATTGTCCAGTAACATGAAATGATGATTGCTTAGTACTCTGTGATGCAATATTCATTGCACAATTAAAATCTGATACTGGCTGATCTATTCCATGCTTTTCTGAATTTAGCAGCACATTTAGAGTTTTAAAAGAAGTTAAAGAAGAATCATTTCTCTCTGTTCTTAGTGTTCTGGACATTGAAGTAATATTATCGGATGACACCAAGGAAGAATTTTGAAGGGCTGATTGTCTAGTAGTAACATCAAGTGACAATGGATTCATCTCTTGCACTACAGTCTGAGAATGAATATTATTAACATTACCTATCATACTAGGTGAGGTATTTTGTTGGTGAACTTGGAAAGACTGTTCATCAATTGCATACGATGGCTCACAAGAAGTAACACTTTCTGATATATTGGCAATATCAAATTGTTTTGACTGTGATACATTTCCAAAGGTTGGAACCTAGAAATATAAAATTATTATTAAATATGTTTAATTACATTAACAAACAACTTTTTCATTTTATGAGTTATTTTAAGAAATAATAAAATATGAATTCAGTATAATGTAATAATTCCTTTCAATCCAGTAAATAAAACATAAGAAATTATAAAATAAAAAATTACTGTTTACAATTATTATTTCTTCCAGAATATTCTAAGTTTAAATATTTTACTTCTATTATTAAATTTAATTATGAAATCGCAGCTTTTAACTACCTATCTCCAGCTAAATTACTTAATAATTAATTAGCCTTAAGTAACTCAATAAAGAAACCAGCCGTTTGTTTGATACTATTTATTCTATTCAAATAATGAAATTGGAATAAATTTAGACAATTACTAGTCTGTTATGTAACCAGCAAACTTTCTGCAAAAACAAGATATACAAAAATTAAAAGAAAATTAAAAACTTTAATACTTGAAATATTTGATATTTTTGTGTACAGTTATATCCTGTCATCTGAATTCCCTTATCTGAATTTCTGCTGCAATGAATAATGTTCATTAATACATATCTTGATATGTGAATCAAATGATCTCTGTATTATGAATTTATACAAATACTTAATACAAAAAAGTATTTCAAAAAGTGCCAGACATTTGTATTTATATTTGAAATATTTTTTTCCAAATATCAACTATCTAATTTTAACACAATTTCTGTAATGACTCAGGATATATTCTTCATAATTGAAGTTTTAGACTATGTACAAAAAATATAAAATTTTTGAGTCTATCTCAATCCTTTTTTATACAACACCAGAAGTAACAGTTAATATGGCTTTTTTATTGAAGAATAACTTCTTAAAAAACAAAGGTAAACGAGTAAAAAGAGAGATCACAATGTTAAAAACGATCAAGTGTCAGCCTTCTGTTGTAGGTTCTGACACTTTACATTAAAAACATGAAGAATTCTTCTCACCATACTGTCCTTATCTGGTGTTGTATAAAAAAGGATTGAGATAGACTCAAAAATTTTATATTTTTTGTACATAGTCTAAAACTTCAATTATCTAATTTTAATCACAATCCAAGTTGAATAAAGTCAGCAGATACTCAAACTTTAGCTTTAAAAATATAAATAATTTGTATTTATAATTAATATGCTTTCATGTTGTTTGTGTGACATATATGGGACCAGAACAGTGTTGGATTAAGATAATTGTCAGATTCTGGAAAAGTGAATCTAATGGCATACAAATGAGTTTAAAAATGTTAAAAAATTGTTAAAAGTTAAAAATGAATCAATTGTTAATGATGCAGAAAAACATAAGTTGGACTAATGACAGTGGTGGATTTCTACACAGGTGCACGAGGCGTGCATCTAGGGGCTCAAAATTCAGCTCTCAAAATAAAAAAATTATTTTATTTTATTATTGTTTTTTCATAATAAAAATAATTAATAATTTATTAGTATTCCCTAAATTAAATTGACAAATGAATAACAAATCAGTAATAAATTTAAAAATAAATTATTTTTTATATCCATGGATTACTAGATTTTTTTTGTTTTTAACACTTTTACCTATAATTCTTGTACCAATAAGTTTCAATTTTCATAATTAATACAATCTAAACATCAGTAACTCTTTAACTACAGCCAGGAAGTTGTAATTTTATATTGGTTAATTTTCAATGTTATTTCCCTATGTCTCACTTTTTTAGACCACTGGTATAGTGCCTACCAGAGTAAAAATCATGCGCATATAATGCACACTATAGGTGTAGGGGTAGTGAAAATATTTACAGGGAGGCCTCAAAATTGAATTGCACCTGGATCAAGTGCTAAATCCATCACTAACTACTGATCAAAACATCCAAACATCCTACTATGCTAGTAATCAATGTTGCCAAGTTAGTGAATTCCCACTAAATTTAGCAGGAAATTGGAATGATAGTGAAAAGTTTAGCGAGAGGTATAGTATTTTTGGTGGAAAATTTCAGGGGACTGATTTTTATATTTATATAGTATTTTGTTTTAAGATACTTGTATCTTCTTTGAGCAGCCAAAAATAAACCTAACATTCTTTAATATTGGGCCCAAGCTACTAAATAAATGTGATTCAGCTCAGGCTTGATATCACATTTATTTAGTAGAAAGATGTTCAAATTTAATCAGAACAGGAATTTAAATTAGTGGGAAGCATGTACAATTAGGCAATAATGTTAGTAGTACCCAAAAACCCAAAGTTTACTAGTGCCCAATTATTGAACATCTCAAACTAGCAAATGGCTAGATTACTGAGACTGTACTGTATTTGAAAATACTAAGTACCAAATTGTAATTAGAAATTTAAATACTAAATTCTTTTAGTATAGAGATACTTGAAAACATTTCATAAGTNGGATCGATGACACCTTGTGAGGTGTCATTGATCCAAGGTTGCTAACGCAATTTATAGAGCATACAAAATATGCAATAGTTTCCCATAGAAGCATTTATAATTTTAATTAATGACATTGATTTTTCCTGTTTCAAAGAAGCAAATACTGTATGGTGTCCAAAAAAATCTGTAACAGAATTGATTTAATTCTGAGCCCAGAAAAATAGTTCATGCTAACTGTCAATGCCATATTCAACAATAATTATACTGACAATTTTTCACTTCATTTTTGGACGTTCAACTCTTAACTTGTCAAAGATAAGCATAAATTTTAAATTACGAATAATAACTATAGAAGAAAACTTCCCTCCTTCGCAATGCTAAAGACCGTCTGGACATGCACCTTCGGTCAGGCATCTGCATTATCCCTGTCATCGATCATAGATCCAGCCGCCACTTAGAAATACGTGTGCTACAATGTGCCCTTTAAACATCTGCCTCAAAGAACACGAGATGTCCATCGCAAAAGGATTAGCCAACGCGGCATTGGCTATCTGTGCCTCCGACCCCGACATTGCTGTGGAATTCCGTGAAACATGCCTATTATATAACTCGTCCAGGCAACCCTTTCTCAAACATCTTGAGCAGATGGAAATATATAAGGCCACCTGCAAAAAAACTGTTATTAACTTTTGCAATGTTGATCCCTTTCCCACGGTGTGGAAGTCTTTCTTTGAACTATAAATCTTACTATCCTTCCCTACCCATTTCTCTTGTTTGATGTTACCTCTTCTGTGCACACATTTGACAATCCCCTGTTTGTTTTCGGCATTTGGCGATTAGCTTGTTTGATGATACTTATTCAACACGAGTGAAAACATTTGCAATTGTAATAAAAATTTACTAGTACATAGGTTTAGTGCTTTTTATAATAACTATATTGTTTATACTTAAAGCATTGTCATTTTGAATTTACAAAGTGCAGAGAAATGGTCATTTACTTGTATTTTCTCAGTGAATGTAGTGCTTCTTTTGTGTCACAATGCAAACAATGTATTGTGCATATGTATCGCAAACACAGCCTTTCTTTGTTGTAATTAGTGCAGTTGACCGACATTGTTCCGTCTCGGACCGAGGCAGTCGCCCGTAAGACGACAAATTAATTTTTATAAGTGAGAAAGCCATGACAGAGCCGGCATTTCCTAAGTAGAACAACCGGGTCAAAATGAGCCGACGACATTTTCTCAACTCGGCAATCGGCCAAAGTTCTCATAAATATTGGGGGCCCGGGTATTCTTTAGGTCGGACTCACGTCCCTGGCAATAGAAGGGCAATCTGCCATGCTAGACAAAAGATAGAGGATTCTGTTTTTTTATATAGATGGAACAGTTTTTAGGGCAGGTCCTGCGGATTACAAATTTTATACATGGATGCGTTTACATTTCTGAATTTGCATTTATAAGTGAATTGCAAAAGTCTTTATCTTTGCAGTGCTCTGTATTTGCAGTTTAATTTTCTTTTTTGTAAACAATCTTTAGACATTTTACAAAAATTGATGTGTTTATATTTATTGGAAAAGAAATTATTTAAGTATTTATATGTTTGTTTTCCTTTTTTTAAGTCAGTGGAAAGGAGAAGTTAAAGAAGGATTGCCAGGTAAGCAAATACTTGTTAATATAAAATATATTATTTCAGTTAAACCTAGGTTTAGTGAATACTTGTACTTAATGGACAAAATATCTAGTTCTGGCACATTATATGACTATAGCAGAGCTCTGCAACTAATGTGCTGAGATATGATGCTAAGTGAATTCAAGGCACAATGCCTCCAAAGGGAGGAAAAGCACAGTGATATGGTGAACACATGAATATGATAAATACATGTTGATTCAAAAGGGACAATGATTTTCCTGTTTTATGTTTGTTGCTATTGACATTTGTGACAGAAAAAATTCTAACAAGTTTCAAACTTTTGTCATATTTCACAGAATCAGTGCACATGTAAATTTGGTGAGTCAAATGCCAAGTTGCCATCTCAATTTTTGTGAAGTGATAATTTTTTGTGAAGATGATGTCTCCTATGATCATGGAGTCAAGACCCCAATCATATGCTTTTCATGCTAGGACTGCATTAAATGTTGTCCACAGTGATTTTTTATATGCACTGTACTTTATAATTCCTATATTTTTTGTATACTTTTACTTGTAGTGTGCCACAGAATTCTGGAAAGTACCTAAGTGTACTGTGCTTGAGAATAGTTTGTAGAATACTGGATTATAGGACTATTAATGCATTTTTACTTTGATTAAGCAGATGTTACCTTCTGTGAACAACAGACAAAAATTTTCTCCCTATTCTATTTTCCAAAATCTCTGTTAAGCAAATATAGTACAATAAATTATATGCTTTCTGTAAATGTCAGCTAAAATATATGTTTATACAGTATTTGGTACCATTGTTTCATAGAATTTCTTTGTATCCTTAAACTTGTTAGATAAAATTTTCCCAGTTTGTTTTAGATAGCATTCTCACACTCTTTGCACCAAACATTGATAATTTGATACTGGCATTTATACTTTGCATAATAAGGGGAATTAAGAAACTTTGAGAATTTTAAAGAAGAAAAAAATAACAGAAACAAATGAATCAAATTGGTATGTTTTAGGAAACTTGCCAAAACTCCTGCTTGAGAAGCCAAGACAGTATAATTTGCAATGCTACCTGTCTAGTTTGCAGTAGCTGTAGTTTTGAGTATCAATCCATTCCAGATCTTTTGTTCTATATTTCTCTAAATTAATTTCTAATTAAATTTATTATTGGTACATAACAATTTTAGTGTCAAAAATGTTAAGTATTAATATCTGTAAAGCAACTGATATCTGTAAAGCAACCAGACAAACAAAGGTTGGACATCCTTGTTCTATATGTACACTTTGCAAATGAAATATAATAAACATGTTATTTTTGACATATGATTTATTTACTCTACAAATTTCATAAATAATTTACCTTGAAAAGATTCAAAGGTATCCATAAAATCATCAATGGAAGGTTGAAGCTGTGCCAATCCAGGTTGAATAAAGTCAGCAGATATTCCAACTTTAGCTTTAAAAAATATAAATAATTGGTTTTTATAATTAGAATAATTATATAGAATAAAAGTATAATTTAAATAATCCTTGTTTAACACTTAAGATATAAAATTTATACTTGGTAATTATGACAGAATATAAATAGTTATGATAAAATTTTATAATACATTTAAGGTATTTAATCATTTTAATTTAAACCAACTATTTAATTAACTTATACCAAAATGCATTTCTTACTAGCCCGTATCACTTGGGTGACAATTGGGTCATCCAAATGATATGGGCCAGTAAGACCAAATTCATTTTGTTAATAAGTTAATTAAATAGGCTTGGTGTGTAATAAGCCTGTTTATTAGTGATAAGTAACTAAGTAGTTTTTCATAATTAGATAATACAGGCAAGAAGCTTCTTAATATAACTTGATATATGTTCTATGTTTCTATTTTTCTCCAATATAAACCATATTTCTTAACTATAAATAAATCGTTGTACACAAAAATCATAGAAATCAATAAAGATGAACTAATGCCAAAATGAATTCACTTTTACATTGAAATAAATTCATTATACACTAAATAGTTTTATTTTTATTTTTTATTAATAAATAAAAATAGTCATTTTTAAAATAATCAAGTTTTATAGGATTATTTTTAATTAAGAAATTGCTGGTTTTTAATACTATTTATAATTAAAACTTCATTTAATGTACTTAAAATAATTAAAAATTTACAAAATATATTACCTATTTCTTTGTGATAAGGAAAATCCAAAGATTGAGAAGAAAACAGAGAACTAAATAAGGTGTCACTGAAGTCTACTATATCTTCATCTAATCCTACTGAACCTGAAGAGAGATTACTATTTGACCAAGTTGACCATTTTGAATCCCAATCCATTGCCATCTATTGAAATATTATACTATTAGTATAATTGCCTTTAAAATTTTTAAATGATTAATAATTCTATCACNTTAAATGTAATAAATTATTTTAATCTTTGATTACTGTGTAAATTTGATTATTTATTGTCAGTAATACCTTTTAATCAGTCTTTTAAATTTATGCATGAAAATGTGTGTCACAAAATGATAAATATAAGTTCCTGATTTAAGTGATCATAAAAAATACTTTGATTACTGTGTAAATTTGATTATTTATTGTCAGTAATACCTTTTAATCAGTCTTTTAAATTTATGCATGAAAATGTGTATCACAAAATGATAAATATAAATTAAGTTTTATAAATTATTGATCAAACAACAAAAAGTTATTTCCATCATAAAGAATGACTTGTTTATTATTTTTTTCCATTTTGTTCAAAAAGTTTATGATAAAATGACAATTCTAGGATCTAGCAATATACAGTGGTACCTCAAGATATGAATGCCCCAGCATACAAAATTTTCAGGATATGACATGAAATTCGAACATATTTTTGCTCCATGATATGAACAAAAACTCACCATACGACGTTACATTAGTTCGCAGCACCATTTTTTATTCACTCCTGTTCATTAGTCTCAGTCCGCGTGTTTGCTTCGTTGTGGAAGGATCTCGCTCGATAAAGGAAATCTTGAGGTATTATCAGAAAGTGACTGATTTTATTGAAAAGAAACATCCCAAAAAAGGTTCACACTGGCCATATTGCTGCTCGAAGTAATGACATTTGCCTAAGTCATTTTAGAAACATTTTAAAAAGTAGGCAAAGCCAAACCTCTTTGGATAAATATTTTACCAAACAACCTCTATCCAGTGAAAGTGCTGGTGGAAGTGAAGGAAAGAAGGCAAAAAGCAGTGAATAAAAATTTAAAAAATACATATATAAAACAACACTAATTTTTTCATCTTTTCTGAGTTATTTTTAAGTTATTGTTACATTATGTTATGTAAGTTAAGTTTTAGTATCATTTCCCTTCTCCCTCTCCTCTGCCATCAGTTTAAACCTTCACCGTCATCTATCCTCAACGGTAAAGGTACATTTTTTTATCAATTATTATTCTATTATGGTTATTTATACATTTACAACTACAAAATGCATTTTTCAGTGTTTTCTTTACTATAGTTATTTTTTTTAATGTACTACTTAGCTTTAATTTGTGTGAGTTTTTTGTGTTGAAACGAATTACAGTAGAGCATCGATTTTCCGAAAGTCAATCATCCGAAAGAATTTCAGTCGGCAAATTTAAATTTTTGCCAGTGCTGTGGCGCTTCAATCTTTGGCTATGTCTTGGGCTACTCAAATATTTTACGTTTTTGATACTAAATTAACATCTGAAGTATAATTTTTTATTATTTTTATATTTTTCAATATATTTATTTTGTTTGTACAAAATAAAAAAA